CGAGTATCTACGTCTGGAGTGTATCAATTTTCATTGCAAATCAAGAACTATACATTTAGGTAAATGATACTGGAGAAGAAGATTAAGACACAATGATTTGAGTTTAGGATTTTTGATGTTGGTGGACAGAAAGCCCAACGTCGGAAGTGGATTCACATTTTTGATGATGTTCACGCAGTGTTGTTCATTACTTCACTGGCAGACTATGATGAAGTGCTGGCAGAAGATAACAAAACGGTGAGCCTTGAAAAGACTCAATTTCCAATTCTTTCTTAGCTTAAAGGAATTTATTGCTTCCACAGAACCGCATGAAGGACTCAATAAATTTATTCAATCAAATCTGTAATAATGAATGGTTTTCAAATACGGCAATGATCCTATTTCTGAATAAAATCGACTTGTTTGCTGAAAAAATAAAGAAGATCAACATTACATGTGCGCTGAGACATTATAAAGGTAAGATTAAGAAAAGCATTTCCTTGAAAGGAATTTTGAGGAAGTAAAATACTTTGAGAGCGAACTTTTAGGTGCACAAGAGTATAGGCCGGCGCTCGAATATATTACAAGGAAGTTCATGCAAGTGAACAAAAACTCCAAAAGAAGCATCTACACACATGAAACTTGTGCAACTGATACGACTCAAATTGGAGTGGTTATAGATAGTGTTGTCGATATTGTCATACAACAGACTATGCAGAAAGTTGGAATACAATAGCACATTTGTCATGTATATATTGGTCATTCATAAAATTTAGTCGAAGATAATCAGTTACTTGTGAAATTTCATCTAAAGGTTTATTTAACCAAAAAAAGAAAGAAATGGATTAATGAATCTGCCTCAATGCAAAAGGTTTAGCATCAATGAGAGTGGTCGTAAGTAGACATATTTAGATACTTAGATGGCCTAACCATTCGTCGTGCAGGCCCTAGCAATGCTTCCATCCGTTTCTGTCTTTCGCTAGCATCATCCACGATGTAGGTATTGAACTGCAGCGGTGACGTTCGCGAGATCCAGATCCATTACTCGTTACCAGCTGAGAATTCAGCTGGTTCATCCTTGCAAGAAACACGTCAGTCCTTTCAGTCGGTGGCCCCCATCAAGGACCTTTTTACCTCACGCGGGATCCAATCCAGAGTTCTTAATGTCCATTTTTCGTCTGTCCTTCTCATTAT